CAGTAAGGCTGGGTCTACATTGGATGTCGTAAGTCGAATAATGAACTGTGATTGGTCAATTCCTTCCGACACGACTTACGACATCCAAATGTAGACCCAGCCTTACTGACTTTACTGGCGTGCGAAAAACGCAGCACCAGTAATTTTCATTGCTACCAACTATACTGTTTTCACTGGCAGTAACTAAATCCATTTTCGAACACATCCTAATTCGAGCTACTACGTCATCTCACGCATGCGCACGAGGTCTCCTGTAGCAGACGAATCCTTGTCGTTAGAAAATGTCTCTTCTTCGACTCGAGTAGTAACTTCCGCCTTCTGGGTTCGGTCCGTGCTCCACGTTTCCGTTTCGCGAGTGCTTCTTTTCGCTTGAGTCTCGGTAATCATGGCGGTAGGCAAGAACAAGGGGCTCTCGAAAGGAGGCAAGAAAGGCGTGAAGAAGAAGATGTGAGTAGAGCATATCGCGCCTCGGACGTAGCCGGCCGTTCCGTCTTCAAGATTCGTCTCTCAACGGCCTGTTGCTCCGCGCGATGCCGTTGGTTATGTCGGATCCCTCGTGCGCCCGGGGCATACGCGTTGTCGCGAGCGACGCTACGCCACGCCGTCGCGTTTATCCGCTTTGCAACGCGGTGTAACAGCACGATTGCCGATCGCGTTTCGCGCACCTCAAGCCTTTGCGCGTCGAAAATCAACTTCTTCGGGTCAACCGACGCGCGCGACTCGCGAAACGAAATCTAACCTAGTCTCCTTGGTGTAGCAAACGTGTTGGCGGTGACTTACTCGAGCTAGTTGAGCAGAGAAACGAGTTTAAGTTGAACGTGACGCGCAGCTTTGTTGTGAAAATACGAAGAGTAATCTCGAAAGCTAATTGTACATGTAGTGCGTTGAATGCGATAGGACGGATGCTGTATAACCTAAAAGGGGATTAAACTTAAAATCTAGATTGAACTTCAAATCCCGGTACAGCTTCTTGTCTCTAGTTTTAAGGCCTGGTTTCACCGACGTCGCTTTACTTTAAGCTCGGCTTAGTTCGTTCTTTGTCTCTTTCCAACTGTTGGTCTAGAGAGAGACGGGCGTTAATTAAACCAAGATCGAAGTTAAGCGACGTTTGACGAAAGAATTGTGCAGAAGTGGACACGAAGTTCACAAATCAATGTCGAGTTACATTAGAAAACTTCGTCAGGTAGAAAATGTTATTACTACGTTTGAAAAAGGACAAAGTAATAGATTCTCGCAATTAGTAGCAGACTGTGACTACAAGAATACAAGGGCGTCTAATGCATAATGATGTAATAAGAGCGAGTCAGTCGCTGTGGCGATTGAGAAAATTCTTGGAGTTGCTTACAAATTTATCAGAGAACGAAGGAGAAGATACGAGCTGATACAAGGAACTGAGGTCTAGGTGTATTAGGAAACTTCATTAGCAAACGTCGCAATGTTGAAAGGAGACAAAGATACAGATTCGCGTCGTTAACATATTGTACCTTGCACACGCACGCTCTCTCACGCAAGTGCTATGTTTCAGTGTGGATCCTTTCACTCGCAAGGATTGGTACGATGTCAAAGCACCGTCTATGTTTGCCAACCGGCAGGTTGGCAAGACCTTGGTCAACAGGACTCAAGGAACAAGTAAGATTTTCACTTCTTCCCTTTCGAGGCTGAATATCTTTCTGTCAAATTATACGTTGCGCACAGCTTGTTTTCGGCTAACAGCAGCTAGTGGCATAGAAATGTCGGTAGCCAATGATTGTTGGAACTGTAAATATGTCCGTTGCAAAGTGTCCGCTTTGTTCCGCAGAGATTGCCTCCGAGGGGCTGAAGTTCCGTGTGTTCGAGGTATCTCTGGCCGATTTGCAGAGCGATCAGGATGCGGAGAGGTCTTTCCGTAAGTTCAGACTGATCGCCGAGGACGTCCAGGGCCGTAATGTATTAACTAATTTTCACGGAATGGATCTGACTACGGACAAGCTGCGATCGATGGTGAAGAAGTGGCAGACTTTGATCGAGGCCAACGTAGACGTGAAGACCACGGACGGCTATCTGCTTCGAGTCTTCTGCATCGGTTTCACGAATAAGGATCAGCTGAGCACGAGGAAGACGTGTTACGCTCAGCACGCGCAGGTTCTTACTTTGCTCAATTATTCCTCGTCCACGTTACACGCAATCTATTATCCATTTCAACTCTATCAATGGTTGAATGGCGAAAGAGTTGCGTAGATCAGTGCAGTCGCTTACCACACTACTTTCATCTGTAGCAAGTAGTGATATAGGAACATGCTACATGATATTATAATATATACCGTATATTACTGGTTTAATTACAGGCTTTTATAAATATTTATTCATTCAAAGGTAGAGTAAAAAATTTTAAGTTACACAGGATGTCTGATAAAAAAAAGTAGCTAATTTGAAAATAGGGGCAGATTGGGTTAAACTAGGAAGAAAAGTCGTGTGTCGCTCTGCAAAATTCGCAATAGTTATCAAGTAATTAATTTAAACGTCTGAGCGAACGAGCACGTAGAACACAGTAGGCCGGACTTGTATCTCGGATCGCCCGCCGCTCGCGCTCGCCGCGTTCACTGGTTTCTTCCCACCGTGGTGTATCTTGCGCTCATCGATCGATTGTCTTACATGTCTTCCAAGTCCGGCCTACTGTATTTTACGTGCTCACTCGCTCAGACGTGTAAATTAATTACTCGATAACTATTGCGAATCTTGCAACGTGGCACGTGACTTTTTCTTCTTAGTTGAACCCAATCTACCACTATTTTTAAATTGCCTATTTTTCAGCGGATACCCCTGTATATCGATTCAACTAGAAAGTACCAGTCGCGAATCAGTTCTAAAGACATCGTTTGTATAATATTAATTATTGTTTGTTCAGTTTTGTTTGGCTAGGTTTCTACTATTATCATTTCTCATTTGATAATATATGTATGACCTATAATTTAGGTTAAAAAAATCAGACAGAAAATGGTCGAAACCATTACGGAGGACGTTACTAAGACCGATTTGAAAGGCGTGGTTAGTAAACTACTTCCGGATGCCACGGCCAAGGACATCGAGAAAGCGTCGCAGGGTATTTATCCTCTGCACGACGTTTACATTCGTAAGGTGAGTGACGGTGCTGGGTACAGCTGCGGGTGAAACAAGCCGTGGCTATTTCTTACGAATGTTAATAGAACGTTAAGAGTGTCAGTGAGTACAGCGGACGTAATTTGACTTTAGGTGAAAGTATTGAAGAAGCCGCGCTTCGAACTCAGCAAATTGCTGGAGTTGCACGGCGACGGTGGTGGTAACAAGAGCGAGGAGGCCGACGAAAGTGGTTCCAAGATAGATAGACCGGAGGGTTACGAGCCACCAGTACAAGAGTCCGTTTGAGGTGTTTTAACTCTTTCGTAAAAATAAAGATCAGACGATCGTGTAAATAACACGTTTATTCGCATGGTTTTTTAAATTTTTATTTGTATCTAGTGCACAGGCTGTAGCGTGCACTACAAGGTACCGCTATATACTTAATCCCCACTCGTTCTTGAGATTAAATAGTAGAACGATCAATATAATTGTATCGAATTAGATAAGCTTTTTCGTGGTCAATGAGAACACTCTCAATTTGATTAAATTACAAAATATTCATTAACTCTGCGATATACGTCGCGCCGGTTATGAGCAACGTTTTAAAGCTTTCGCTCCAGGACGCTAGCAGGTAGATGATAAAAAGGAAGAAGAGTATCTTCGCGAGTACGTCCACCCAGTACATACTGCAAAAAAAAAGAACAGGCGTGAGTCAGTTTACGTAGAGAAACGCCGTTTTCCGCGCGCGATTCTCGAGCTTACGTTCTCAAGTGTCGACGAGCGGCCGGCAGTGTTTCCGGGGGTTCGTTTAAAATGTAAATTCTGGCGGCTCGAATGCAATCCTCGAAGTAATCGTCTATGACCAGATCGTTGCCGTGAACTCGATACTTGTCGTATTCCGTGCTGTTGAGCTTTTCCCTTATGTAACCGGCATACGTGTTTTCGAAGTCCCACTGATGGTTTGCGTAATATTCAAAAACTTCGAATCCCTTATTTATGCGGCGATGCACGCGACACATACTGCGGTACAAACAAAACGAGATAGAGAGCGTGTAAGTGCTTTTTTGTTTCTAAGATTTACCGCGGCGACTCACATCGGTTTATATCCCGCCAGAAAGATGAACGCGTCGATGATATAAGCCGGGATCATGTGAAATAACACTATACAAATATTGTGCATGAGCCGCGATTTCTTCATGCTACCACCTGGGTACCAGACGACTCCGTTCAGAGGTATCTTTTTTATTATTCTTCGGCCGCGGCTTATTATTTCCGCCCAGGTGACCTGCGAACAACGGCGAACATCTCATTACGATACTGTTAAAGAGACGCGCACCATTATTTTCCATTTACCTTGAACTCGGAACTACTCGTCAGATTAATGACGCTTCTATTGTGGTCCTTGTGATAAATATAATTCCACGTGCCAAGGAGAATGGCATTGACGGCGATATCGACGGGTAGATAATCGGCGTAGCTATTTTCGTTGCAGTACATCGTTCTGAGTACTCCCTTTCCAGCACCGATCAGGAGGCCGGTCGGTCCGTTGATGTTGTCCGTCCAACCGGGCAACGGCTCCTTCCAGATGGGAATAACTATGCTCGGCCTGACAGATGAAATTGCACGATAAAAGCATTTAACGTTCGTGATCTAGCATCGATGAGTGTGGACGAGACCCCTGATAGAAATATTTTGCTGGTGGTATTACGAAATTGATGTGTGTGAGAAATGAAATAAAGATTATTGATAAATTGTTGAGGATCTATCTAAAAGAAAATCACAATTTTCTTTATAAAATTCGATGTAATACCATGAATTGTAAGGAAAATTAAAGCGTACTGTTGAAAAGTAACACGAAAGGTATGCGATATTTTAGATTTTTATGAAGTCTACCGAAAGTAACCGAAAACTATATTCAATTATGAACGTAAACGCTATTTTAGGACCTGACGCAACTGGATGTAGCCAATTAAATTGCTATGTAAATCCGTATATCATATTTGGCGACCTCCAGCTGCGCCAGGTCCTAAAATGGCATTTACGTTCGTAACCGAGTTTTATCTTAAAAAGGACGGAGTTGAAATTTAGTTGTGAAAACTCTGTTACTTTTAAATACAAATAATTGTCACTGGATTTTTATTGAAATATTGAAATGACAATAAAACGAGATCAATTGATTTTCAAATACATTTCAGCACATCAAATTTCGATTATATTCTCAGTAAGATCTTTCCATCAGGAACATTTGTCGATACCTCATAATTATCGATGGAATATGCAGCATACTGTCTTCGACGATACTTTCCGATAAGGCCTTCGTGAAAGCGTACGTATTAGGCACTTCGCCCAAGATTTTGTCTGTCATTGCTTCGACCACATCATCGTCCATCCATTCGACGCATTTGATCACTTTGTAAGGATCCGCGGGCGGGGGATACGTTCTCTCGCGCAAAATCTGTCGAGACTCGGTTTTTATTTTTCGACCATCCGGACGTGCAAATTTCGAAAAACTATACTCACTTTTTCTTCGAGATGGCAATAGGCCGTGCTGATATAAACGAACACAAGTAAATTCTTCATTTCTTTGGCCAGATCTAACATCAGTTTTGTGCCACGTGTATTTAGCAGCACCGCTCTCTTCAACAGCTCATCGAATCTATAAAAGGATTAATAACCGAACAGATAAAAACTTTATTCGTTATAAAAAAAATGGATGTATTTACGCGGATCAATGATCTAAAACAACAGCCCCAGTGAAAAAGATTAAAATTTTTCAGAATTTCTGATGAAACTTTAGAAAATTTCTCGGATGTTTTAACACAAATTAGGACACTTTTTAGAAAGTCTACATTTTTCCCAAAATTCTTTATACACGTGAATTCTAAAACTTTTTATTCTATAATTTCCGAAGAGACAAAAAGTCTGAAAAAGTATAAGGTGTTTTTTCTACAAATCTTCATAAATTAAAAAAATTAAAAATTCTTTACCGTGTTACAGGACACGAGAATTTTATTTACCAGGGTGAATGTCCAGATAACAAGGTTCGCCGAGATGTTTTCATAATTTATACAATCGTAAGATTTGCAAACGGATACAGCGAAAAAACAAGATATGTAGATCAGTTCTAGAAGAGAACAGATCTTGAAAAAGTTATTCTGCTATAAATTGCTGGCAGAAATATCGCATAACTGAATCTGTTAACAGATTGATGAGACGGCACAGGTTGATTGCAGAAATTTATCGAACAGGATCTATCGTTTCGTAACCATTTAAGTGACATATTCCATTTAAATGATTACGAAATGACAGATTCTGTTGAGGCAGATTTCCGCGTCGGATTACGCCTGCATGTTGGAATACAATTTAATGCAAATCGAGCCGCGATGCTCGAATTTTATTGGCGAACCGCTAACATTTTGCTTACTGAATGATTGTTTTAATTTTTATTAAAGAAACGCTTCAATCGCAATCAAATCCGCAATCCGGGCAGACCATAAAGAACTCATAATGATATTATAACAGTGTCATCATGACTTTATTTATTACTTAAAAGTTATAGAGGAAAGTCCCCTATTATGAGATAGCAGAGTTTTTGCTAAATTAATAGGCATCATTGTTATTTTATTGTCCTTGAAATAAAATCTGTTTAGTGGAAAATTCATTGTTAGATCGTGTAGTCGTTGTGAATACAGGATTTGTGATTAAATTTTGATGTTGAAAACCTGCTATCTCATTAGAAGCGTCCCAAGGAGAACAAAAAGTCAGGATGATGTCAATTTGATGTCATTGACATCATCCTGACTTTTTGTTCTCCTTGGGGTATCTCATAATAGAGAGATCCTCTATTAATGTCACTTCGACGTCACTCAGATCATTATGATCCTTTGTTCTCCCTTGGAAAAGTTTACTTTAAATGAAATTAAAGTTTTTAAAAGTAATCTTTCAAATCTGAGAGTTTACTTAAAAAAGTGAAAAGTTTACTTAAGAAATTTTAGAGTAATTTGGGACACTTAAAGTCATTTTTAAATAGCCAAGTCTGTCGAAGTTCCCGCTAGAGGGTCGTGCGGCATAGCACTTTCTCGTAAGAAGAAAACCCGCACGCGGTATTATAAATTATATCGCATACTTTTTACAATTCTGAAAGTTCCCTTTTAAATTCTTAAGTTTAAAGTGTCCAAATTTACTTTTCATACTTCTTATTCTTCTAAAGTAAACTTTTCAGGTTTTCTAAGGCCGGTATTCATAGTCGATTCTTATTTCAAAATCATCTTAAGTATTGTCTTGAGACGCTAATACAGCTCTGTGATTGGTTGAAAATAGTGGTCTTAATTATTCGAAGCTTCGCAACTTCGAAGCTTCGAAGTATCCGAAGAAACGAAGAAACTTCGAATATCGAATTTTCGAAGTTTCGAAGTTTCGAATATTCGAAGTCAACTAAAGCCAACGGCTCACGATACGATTTTTCCTACTGGATTGCTTACGAGAGCCAATCAGGATGCAGAGTTTTCGATCAGGTGACTCAAAGCTGAATCCTGGTTGGCTCTCGTAAGGAATCCAGTAGGAAAATAGTATCGTGTGCCGTTGGCTTTAGATTAAGCATTAAGATATAAGCTTTCAAAGACCAACCTAATTTATCATCTGTATTTATCATCTGTATCAGGCAGTAAAAAGAAATAGTTAATAAGATAAAATGTTAATGATAGAAAATTTATTTCCTTCGAATTAATTGTATTTTTATGAGCGAATGGACAAAAATGTGTCCGACAATAAGTACATTTGTTTTTTTATACTTGTAATGATATTAATTAGTTGGCATTTAATTAGTTCACAGTTATAGTAAAAACGATTAATTTTGCAAAATGTGTTATTGTTTTTTATCTTGTTAATACATTAGTTGACTTCAAATATTCGAAACTTCGAATCTTCGAAAAATTCAAAAACTTCAATTCTCGAGTAATTTCTACGAAGCTTCGAAATTGAAAATCTTCAAAGAAAAATTTCAACTCTAGTTGAAAACACATTAAGAGCATACTTAAGTTAATCTTAAATATAAGAACGGACTATGAATATCGGCCTTAGGTATCCCAAGTAGAACATATTAGTCATGAAAACATCAAGATGACATCATTTTTTATGCATTATGGTGACGTCAAAATAGCCCACCGAGAGCACCTATTTGTGACAGCATTAAGATATCAAAATGTAAAAATGATCTTGTTTTACAAAGCAAAGTTAATTAAATATTATACATAAATAAATTAAAGTAATATAAGGTAAACATAATATACATATATGACTGATCATGTAATCTGTAAAATAATATATTATTATATTACATTACGAATATCATAAAACAGCATGTCATAAATCAGTCATTGCAAAGTAAATCTTGATGTCGATCATTTTATGACGTAAAATTCATCATTTTAATGTCACATTGACATTTTTTGTGATTAACGTGTTCTACTTGGGATATTTTCCCAAGGGCTATCTGGGAATGTCCTGAATCTCATTAATAGCATCGGATTGGAGGCAGCGTGTTTCGTTATCAGTACCTGACGGTAGCCGCTGCGTGATACACGATGGTAACATTCTCAATAAGCATTTTCCTGTCCTCCAGTGACAATCCAAGATCTGGCAATGTCACATCACCGCTAATGGCCGTTACCGCTTTGTCAAGTGCCGGCAATCCCCTTTCTGTCCTGACTTTCTCGAAGAGCTGTAATTTCAATTTCAAACGAATCGCTCATTACTCGTCAGTCGTACGAGAGTCACGTAATTGTGTAACATTATACAAGAGCAAGATCGATCAGATTAGAGATTACCAAAGGTCTTAAAGAGAACGCCGGAAATAAATACTATCAAGAGACACGGTAGTGTCTCGCGCCAAGTATAAGCGTAGCGATCAAAACTGAGCGTGCGAGACCGACGCGTATCTTTACGCGAGTATGCGAGTTGAGAGACCCTTAGATTATCGGATCTCAAAAATGACCGATCTGATCGACTTGGTAATAACAGATACAAATAATATTTTGTAAAAGATTTGCATTTTTGAGCATTTATTTCGTATTTTGTGAATGAAAAGTCGGGATATGCTTCAAAAATCAAATATTTTTATAAATTCATAAAATATAATAATCTGTGAGATTTTTCAATCATTTTGCATGCACGAGCGACTTGTATTCTTCCTTTTGTAGAAAGTAAAGTACTAAACGCGATTTACTCTTAACTCTATAATAAAAAATAATCACAAAAGAACCAAATTAATTGGTGGGGGGAAGAAGGCCAATGCGAGCCAAACGCAGGTATTTGTGCGAAAATGTCTAATATGGAATTTTTTATTGAATTTGTAAATTAATCGCCAAACGTTTCGACCCATTTTCGGGTCATCCTCAGTGAGACTAAATATGCTGCGTTCGGCATTGTAAATCCGAAAGACGTCGGCGTGCTCTTCCTCCTTCTCCATCTCATTCTCCTCTCTCGTTCACTCGAATGCAAAAGAGCACTCCGACGCCTCGGATTTGCAATGCCGAACGCAGCTATAGACAGAAATATGTTCGGCGCTGAAATACGAATCTGTCGTCTCGAGTTGTCATCTGACATGTTCACACGAGTCACCAAAGTGAGAGCCATTAAGAGAGAGTTCTACTTGGGTGGATGCTTTTATATGCAGAATAGTCAGCAAAATGAAGTTCTGAAAAGCGAGTCGGAAAGTCCTAAACCAAATTTCTTTTTTCGATGCTTAGCAAAGGAGATGTTATTAAGTAAGTCCCAGTCCCAATTAGTTGTTCTTTAATAAGCATAAAATGATATACGATCGTATACGTAAATTTTATCTTTACACTTTGATATGTATTGTAATTAAGAGATTTTCCGTATATTAGGGTTCTAGATAAATTCTTCTTCTAGCAACTTGGAAAGAAGAAGGAAGGGATCGCAAAGAAAGAGAGTCGGAACCAAAATAGCGGCTTTATAAATTGAAGTGACATGCATTACATGAGTAGCGCATTTCTGATTCATTTAATTAGGACTTAGGCCAGTTATACAATACGTCGTACGTCGCTGTCGGATATCGAGACGTGACCGATGGTCCAATGAGAAAATTTATTTTCAAAAAATAAATTTTTTCATTGGACCATCGGTTATGTCCCGATATCCGACAGCGACACACGACGTATTGTATACACGGAAAGAAAAATGTAGCTGCCATAGCTAAAGACTCCATGTGGCAACTAAATTTCAGTTGTAAAATGTGGACAGCTAATATTTAATTGTGATAGCCAAATATTTTGCTACTGTGCCTATTGTAGTAGGTGCGATAGCAAGCCGTTCGCTGTGGTTTAGAAATTTAAAGTTATGGCAGCAAGGTATTTTCAGCAAACCATGACTAGCTATGGTAGTTAACATCTTTTACAGTATAATAGGCCTCAAGCTTGTTAATGATTTGCTTATCGGTGTCATGCTTCATTCCCAGTGGGAGATATAAAGTCGAAAAGACGTAATTTTGACGTCGAGAAGCCTGGTCGAAATTACGTAAATTTGGTCACAAGAAACACCTCTTTTCGACGTCGAAATAAGATCCAAGGTGACGTTAAATATTGTCTCTGGCAATATGCTTTAGAGCTTTAGATCAGGTCAAATTTACGTTGATTTTAAATATGGAGATTTGCATGTGTACGTTTATATTATCCATATATAGAATGGATTAGTGTGGTAATAGAAGGAGTTGCACGCGTATAAACCGACAGATATACAGGGTGAGTTTTTTATCTTGAGACGACGAAAAATCTCGAGAACTACACATCAAATAAAAAAAGTTTCAGACAAAAGTTGTATAGTTTCGAGGGGGCCATAAGACGGTACCATTGGTTTGACCGTGAAGAATTATTTGAAGGTCACATAAAGGTCACACCAATTTTTTTAAATCCCCTATTTTTTATTACATATTCTTGTAGCTAACCTTGAGAGCTTTCCAAAACGCTATAATAAAGTATTTTTTATCAAGAACTTTTTGAGTTATTAAGGTTTGAAAGTTCCAATATTTTGACGTAAATTACAAAATATCTTGTAAAATATTCATTTTTTTATCATCTTACCTTGATACTTTTTTGAACAGAATAATGATACAAATCAACTGGCTCAACAAATCAATAAAAAAATTTTTTTATTGCTTGTTACAAAATTGTTTGTTTTCTTTACACCAGTTGATTTGTATCATTATTCTGTTCAAAAAAGTATTAAGGTAAGATGATAAAAAAATGAATATTTTACAAGATATTTTGTAATTTACGTCAAAATATTGGAACTTTCATACCTTAATAACTCAAAAAGTTCTTAATAAAAAAATACTTTATTATAGCGTTTTGGAAAGCTCTCGAGGTTAGCTACAAGAATATGTAATAAAAAATAGGGGATGCCATTTTAAAAAAATTGGTGTGACCTTTATGTGACCTTCAAATAATTCTTCAAGGTCAAACCAATGGTACCGTCTTATGGCCCCCTCGAAACTATACAACTTTTGTCTGAAACTTTTTTTGATTTGATGTGCAGTTCTCGAGATTTCTCGTTGTCTCAAGATAAAAAACTCACCCTGTATATGTATAAGGACTCCAGAAAGAGACAAATACATACATATGTCTGTCTCTTCCTAAATTACTATAATATTTGTTATAATTACATGTATTCTCATATTATCTGTCTCTTATCCCAGTGAGAAATGATTCGTAGATTGACGTCGAAACGACGTCGATTCGACATCATTTCGACGTCGATCGACGAATCATTTCTCACTGCGGATTTTATGTACGTCGTTTCGACGTTGTTTCGACGTCGTTTCCACCAAACAACTGAAACTTGACAGTTTTCTCTCTAATAAGAAGTTAAAAGTATTCACAACGCGAACGTTGAACGTAGTAATTTAATTTAAAAAAATATATTTTGAAACTTTTAATTATTTTCGAAAACTGACGGTAGGGACGCAGTTTCGGCCTCATTGACGTCGATTCGACTTTAGTTTTCTCACTGGGTTTCGCATTTACTAAGGCTATGATAATTGCAAATGAATATAGTGATTCTATGTATAATATATATACTTTGCGTACAATTAAAAATTAGTATTTTATTATAATAATTTGCTTCGGTAATCGATATTGTCGAACGAACTGTCCGCTAGATTGAGTTTCAAACGAAAAAAAGCGATATAAGGTATTGCCGTCATTCCAATTTTGAATAGACCAAGCATACGTAATATTTTATAGTATTTGAAGATAATAATAATTCTTGTTCACACACAGAATCGCTCATTTCTTTAAAACAGTTTAATTCCAGCAACACCTTGGGTAATTTTGAGATTGTAATTAGTTGTATACTCCCGAGTAGAAACAAGAAATCTGATAAAGTCAAAATGGCATGAAAATAATATTACTATGATTATCGCAAGTCACATTTTGAATATGACAGACAATTGATCAATGATTATGAAACTTAGAGATGCTGTTTGACAGGAGTCACGAGAATTTGGGCTTGGATTATTTTCGATACTAATAATAGTTTCGATACCAATATTAAGACTTAAGTACAGTAATAATGAATAGTAATAACTAAGAATCCGATAAAAAATTTGCCATACATAAGCATGTATAAATATATAGAATTATAAAGACTTATGGAAATTCTATAAATTTGTATGAAAAAAATTAAAAAAAAAGAATTTGCTTGTATATAATCATATCTAATTATACATATATACCTAGACACTAACTATTACATAATTAGATGTAATTATATATTAGCAAATGTTTCTCTTTAAAAGTTTTTTTCACATAAATTTACAGA